CAATTTCCACCCATTTTAGTTACGTCGTAACAAGTTAAATTGTCAAATATAAATCTTATAAAAAAAATGTTTGTAAAATAACGAAAAAAATATTAATTATAAGCCAAACATTACCCACGTCATTTAAAAGAAAGTAATTCTTGCCGTATCATAAGCTTAAAATTTCAATTTAAAATGAGAAAAAGTAGAAGAAGAAGAAAAAAAGAAGAAAAAGAAGAAGAAGAAAAAGATGATGACGACGATGATGAAGAAGAAACAGAAAAAGAAAATGAAAAAGAAACAGAAGAAGAAAATGAAGAAAAAGAAAAAAGGAAATATGTATATAATTTCATCGTTAACGATTGAATATTTATGTCAGTCTGTAATAATACCTAACTTCGGTTCATGAAATGTTCACATTTATTCCTAACGTCAGTAGTTAATTACAAACATTTTCTAACATCGATCCTCTTTGGTTTACCAAACTTACTACGAGAATTTATTTGTTTATATTTTAAGTAGTTCTCTATCTACTTACACACATTATCGATAAACAGTGTGCAAATAAATTTATCAAGTCTTATAATTTTTGAATAATCATATGATTTTCTAACATATTTATTCGAAAAATTTTTGATTTTTAAAGAATTAATCCTTTGTTATATTTAAGATAAGTCCCAAAAGTAAATTTACAGGGCCCTTTTGATCCCTTCATTTGTTTTTCGTAGTAATATGAAAACTTAACATTTCTGATTTAGGAAAATTTAATTTACGATAGTTTGATTAGTTTCAGTTTTATGAACTTGAACTCATTTACTTTGAAAACATTTTTTTTGTATACATATATAGTAGCAATAAACATAAAACACAAAAAATGATTTAAATATCTGTACCACACGCAAATGCTAAAAAGTCATGAAAAATCAAATCCCAGAAGATCAAGAAAAATCTCAATAATTAATATTTGAAATGCATCGGCACTTGAGAGAGATTGACATTTAATTTTAATACATATTATATGTAAATTACGGCAAGATCTGGTTATATTCGCTTAAAAGCCAGATATTCTAGAAAAAGAATCTGTCTCTCTATATGTCTGAATAAGACATCGAAGGTCTGAGGGCGTTTTGATATTTCAGAACATTGGAAAAAAATATTGTGCAATGAATAGTAAACATTCTTTTTCTCATCAGTATGGTTATATCAGTCCATTCAGGTACCTTTGACGTTGAAAACATACACATACACACACGCGTGCGCCCGTTCGCTCGTTCGCGCGCATGCGCGAAATTACATTCGCTTGCACATAGAGGCATGCACGTACAAATTTTCCATGACACGCGCATGCGCACACACAACGGAGGGGCAGAGGGAATGAAACTCGTATTTTATCCCTCTTTCATTTTATCCAACCCCCTCCCAATGGTCCATCCAATTAGAAATTCAAATACGTTTATCCAATCGAATTTTCGTGATTAATTTTTTAAGCGTGAGATGCACAGTGACGTGGTAAAATGTATTAATCGTTTTGCAAAAAAAAAACCGGAAAATATAACTTATAAGTAAAATATTTATAATACCTAAAATTATTTTTTAAATTTAAATGCAAGTTTTGTATATGTATATATTAAAAATTATTATACTATCATTCCTCGAAAGTAAATAAAAAAAAAAAAAGAAAAAATTAATATAGTATGTTTATTTAAATAATCATAATCAATATCTTCTCGTGCATTCTTTTTAATCATCTATATATTTATGCACAGTAAAACTCATTAATTGCGCAGTGTTCAATGTATACTATATATCATTATATAAATACTAAATTTAATTTTATGCCGTAATTATCGAGAATAAAGAAAGAGATCATCGTTATAATTAAGCAAATTGCATTTCAATCGATATTAATACTCTCGATAGAGAATTGATAGAAATAAAATTTAACACATGACAAAAGTGTTTTTTTTATATATACAGCATCGATATATACATTGTCGATGTACCAAATAAATAAAAGTTGAAATTTTTATACTTTCTGTATTATAATAAAAGACAAATATTATAAAAATAATTCAATAATTGTTTGAAAATGTTATTCTGTAATATTTAAATATTATTAATTTTATTATTTTAAGCCAGTGTCAAGAAAGACATAACAAATTTAGAAATTAAATCTAAGAACTAAGATCTTTTTAAAAAAAAAAATATATATATATATATATTATGCATATACTACGCATAAATTGAAAATGTGGCATGCTTTAATGTTTCAATACCATTAAAATATTCTTTCGTTTAAAATAATTAATATCAAGTCTATTTCTATGCCCATTCTGTTTTTAAACTTTGTAATCTCATTTAGTCTTGATATGTTCGCTCTTTTCACATCTTTATAATTATTTCGATCTGATCCATATTTCTTCTATAGTCTAATATTATAGTTTCGCATAGACATAAAATATAAAATAATCTTGAATCTAAATAAAATTTTCTTTGCACAAAGAATATTAAACAGATTTTATATTTAGGTTTTAATTTTTTCTAATTTCTTTATAAATATCATCATGATAGAGAGTATTATAGCTTGATTGAAATAAATTTCAATTGATTTTTAAAAAAGATAGTGCTTTTATCAAAATAATTTCAGTAATTCATATAAGATAAAAAATTATTGTAATTTTATTTTATTATTTAATGAAAAAGATAAAAAACTATTTAAAATAACTGTAAAAATAATAAACAAACTTATACGATAAATAATGAATTTTTCATGATGCAAATAATGAGTTTTTACTGTACAATATTGTATATTATTTTGTATATATTAATTAATAATAAATGATTAATATTATTATAATTTTTTGAATTCTTTCTGTCATTTTATCAAATTTCATTTAGTAGTCAAAAAGAAAAATTTATATTATTAAAACAAATATGAGAATTGTGTGCGCGCGCGCGCGTGTCGCTACCTGTTACGAAGTACTGATCATTTTAAAATTACTATTGAAAAATATTAATCATTGTCAAATTATTAATTATTATAGAAAAAAAAAATCGACATTCTTAAAATATAAATTTTGCGTCACTGTATAACTGGAAAGTGCTTTCACTCGAAAATTCGAAATCGTTTTTAAAAAGAAAATTTTTACTTAGGATTTTAATTTTTAAATGCTTTAACAATTCTTAATATTAACCAATGGGAAGTGGTATATTTTTCTCCTCGATATCATTCATTATTTTGTAGAGGGGAAAAAAGAGAAAGAGAAAGAGAAAGAGAAAGAGAGAGAGAGAGAGAGAGAGAGAGAGAGAGAGAGA